CTATATCGCCTATTTCTTATTGACTTCCATACAGTCCTCTGTTCTCCTATTCTTTCCAATACCTCTTCATTTCTAACCTTTTCTACCCACGATATCCTCATCATCCGTCTATANCATTCAACTTCACATAGCCCAAAACTCTTCGCTTAATGCAATATTATGTGGCGTTTTTATTTAACGATACAACGATTCCTTTGTCTAAATCAAAGCCTTTGCGATTGTTGTCTCGATCAACACGATTGATAAATTACTTCGTCATCATAAGGTCGTCAGTCCTAAAACTAGTTGATCTCCACCCTTTCCTAACCTAAGCTAATTTTCGCACTTCCCTAAAACTAGAAAGCCCCACATCCTTAACTATTTATAAACAGTAATCTAAACTAGGTCTACCTCTTTTCCTCTAAAATCCTATTTCTGCTTCTATGTTTCTCATTAGTCCTTTAAATATGAGGTGTCCTCGCCTATTTCTTGATGTCCACAGAGTCCTCTATTCTCCTATTCCTTCTAATATTTCCTCATTTTTAATCTTCTCTATCCACGGTATCCTCATCACTCATCAGTAACACCACATTTCGAAGTATTCCTTTCCGCCGTGACCGCTATCGTACGTTTCGCACCTATACAACGCCGTGCTCCAGACCTACACTTTTAACAATCTTTTTCGAATTTATAAATTAAGGGTTCTTTTTGATAAAGGCGACTCTACAATGCACTATCCTCTGTTTTATATCTCGACTNCGTTGGGAATCACTGGTGTAGACTAAGGCTCATGTAACAGTTATGGCCCAAGAGTTACTCTACCCTGAATATTAAACCAATATAACACAAAATATAAAACCGTAAACATTCAACTTCACATAGCCCAAAACTCTTCGCTTAATGCAATATTATGTGGCTTTTTTATTTTACGATACAACGATTCCTTTGTCTAAATAAAAGCCTTTGCGATTGTTGTCTCGATAAACACGATTGATAAATTACTTCATCATAAGGTCGTCAGTGCTAAAACTGGTTGATCTCCACCCTTTCTTAACCTAAGCTAATTTTCGCACTTCCCTAAAACCAGAAAACCCCACATCCATAACTATTTATGGACAGTAATCTAAACTAGGTCGACGTCTTCTCCTCTAAAATCCTATTTCTGCTACTATGTTTCTCATTAGGCCTTTATATATGAGAAGGAGTCCTACCAACCTAACTCGCCTATTTCTTGATGTCCACAGAATCCTCTATTCTCCTATCCTTTCTAATATTTCCTCATTTCTAATCTTCTCTATCTACGGTATCCTCATCAATCGTTTATAACACCACATTTCGAACGCTTCTAAAGTTTTCCTTTCCGCCGTGCTCCAGACCTACACATTTAACAATCTTTTTCGAATTTATAAATTAACCGTTCTTTTTTATAAAGGCGACTCTGCAATGCACTATCCTCTGTTTTATATCTCTACTGCTCCTTCCGTCTTTTCGTCTCCTATCTTTATATATTCACTCTTTCTAAATTACTTGCCCAAAAAATTTTACTTCCGAAGGGTGGTGAAAACAGCATAGGAACAAAGGGAGAAAATAAACATATGCGATCTGAATGATTCTTTAAATTTCCTGCCTCCCTGCTTATACATTTTTATGATGATACAAATATTATCACAGAACTTGAGGCGTGTTGAGTTATGTGAGATTATTGTGGTTTTACAAATTGCTACAATCATTTGGGTTGATATTGTGTTTTCATTAATTGTAGATATGTATTGAGATAAGAACTATTATGATTCAATTATTAAAAACAAGTAAATGAATATCTAATATTAGCAAACTAGCTGCAGTTTTTGTGACCAAATGTATAGAAAGTCAGATGCACACATTTATCATTTGTGTCTGATAAAATCATTTTTGACGTAAGGATTTTGACTTTCCAAACTAAACCTACAGCGTAGCTATCTACGTTTTAAGTCAGGTGAAACTTAACAGAACATTAAATTTGTGATCAGCAGTGGGTTTAATTTAACAAATCGATATCCTTAAATCTAAAAGGACTTTCTCAAAACATTATTAAATTCACAATCTTTACTACGCCATGAGTAGTTATTTACTGGACTCTGTTGAGTAGAAGCTATCTATGGAATGCTGATGGGAACCAACGAGTTTGAAATCGCGATTCACATCTAACAGTTTTGACACGAAATGGATAAAAGACGTTAGAAATTACTTATCGAAAATCATAAAATTACAACGCTTCGTCAGGTTCACTGCAACTTCTTCAAATTACAACAATGTGGTATAGTAATACGTTTATTTTATACCAAATATAAAACTAAATAAAATTTTGGATGTTAGAAACACATAAACTACAAAACAAAATAATAAAATTTCCTAGT